AATGTAAGCAATAGAAAGAACAGATACTGGTGGGAAAATGTAAAGAAGTCAGAAGTAGGAAGAAAAATAAGTAATGGAGTAAAGTATAGATACCTAAAAAGTGTACTTAAATACAGTAATGAAGTATTTGTACTTTGTTACTTGACACCTAATATGTTATATTACATGATTTATGGACGTCATAATGACTCTGTGATGTGATTGGCCGATTATTTTATTCTAAGTTAAAGTTAATCTACTGATGCTATGAAACAGCCAGTCTGTGTCAGAGTGATGAATTTATCTTTATTTTAAAATGAGAACATCGTGGTTGTTCGATGCTGTAGCGCACAGATTGTTTACATTGCGACCGGTCTAACTAGGGAGTACCAATATGGCAGCCGGTGGCTTCACTTTAACCCCGTACTGCCAATGAGCAATCAGCAATCCAGGGAATAAATGGAGATTAGTGGAGGAGACGGCGGCGTCTACAGGAAGGGGCGGAGCAGACTGGACTTCCTCAGTTCCTTCAGTTTACAGCGTATGCGTCAGCGTTGGGCCCTGACCCCTCAGAGGGGCCCCGACCCGTCTGAGGGCCCTTCAGCTCTGATGAAGCTCTGTAAGCAGAAACCTTCATCAGATCTCTAGTTTTTCTCCTCCCTGACGTTCCCTCGCTCCCCCCTCTAAACACATGGATCAGTTCAGGCCCTGGAGGTGCATGAATCTCCTCTCTGGCTTCTTCTGGAGCAGTTTAGGTGAAATAAACATTTAGAAATAAAAAGTTAGAAACCTTTAAACCATCAGGGCGTTCTGCTTCTGTCTGAAGGGAACAGGACGTGTCTGTAAACCTCTGAGCAAACACATAAAGTCAAATCCAAACTGCTAAACAGTGGCTGTCAATCAGTTTAAACCAGATTGATGATAGAATCTCCAATAAGACAGAAGGAGGTTTAGATGATGAGAGGAAACAGGTTTAAGGTAAAAACAAAGGAAGGTGGATGATTTTACTCCATCTGAGCTTCAAGCAGATGATTTTACTCCATCTGAGCCTCTAGCAGATCCCCAACCTTCATGAGGTCATTTCTACAGAACAGCCATAAAGAGTCATTTTCCTCTTTAGGCGTCAAATCAAAAGTGATGTAATTTCTTCTGTGGAAGGATTTCCTGTGGAAAAACAACCTTGATTTAGATCAATTTGATCATTCGAGTCCTCAGACAGACACTCCATCATTCATCCTCTGAATATCACGGTGTTTTACACATCTGGAAGCTGCAGTGGAGCCTTCAGCTACAATGCAGCGATAGAGTTGATTCCTTCCTGCTATCATCGCAGCCCCAACCCCTTTACAGGAGAACAGGAGAGCTCAGCTATTGAGCCAGGCCAACTATTCCCTCTAACGACCCCCATTCCAAAGGGGGGGACCCGTTCATCCGTTTCTATTTGCATGTTTTCTAAACTAAAACCAGGCTTTGTTGGGCTGCTGGATAAAACCTGGAACTAAACGCTATTTCTGACACTTTGGATTGAAAAACCTTCCTGGATGGAAGAGAAACGTCTTCAAACTTGGAAACAAAGTCCAGAGGATTGATTTGAACTTTTGAAATAACTCTGACCTGTCCCTGTCTCTCTGGTGACTCAGCAGAAAGGAATGCAAACAAACCAAGAGGACAAACAGCCAGGCAGTCAGACTCAGAGATGGATTAGGCTAAGGGTCATATTTTAGGACTGTGGGAGGAAGCAGGAGTACCCAGAGAGAACTCACACATACACAATGAGAAGACATGCAGAAACAGAACATTGGTTTTTATCTCTGAGCTGCAGAAAGAAATGATCACTGATCAGCTTCTGCTCCTTATATCAAAACAGGATAAACAGAGTTCTGATGAAGCTTTATTATCACTGTATGATCATTATATGATTACATGAGGACGGCTGCAGCCATGAAGGGAGATAACAGGCTGAACTCAGCCGGCCGCTCCCTCCTTTCATTTCCACTGGTTCCTCTCGTAGTCCCACTTGGCTGAGAAGCCCTGCACAGGGTTGATCCTCATGTCCAGCATCCTCTGCAGCTGCATGGCCTGCCAGTCCTCATCCACGGTCCTGGGATGGGGAGGGTAGACTGGAAAAACACCCAGACTGTCATCCACTCCGCTCCTCTCACTGCTGACATGACAAACAGGTTTCTCTTACCGTAGATCCTCTGCCACCAGACCACCAGGCCGGTGAAGCCCAGGAACAGGAAGATCCCACCCACCACAGTCTTCCACTCTCCTGTAGGCGCCTTCATCTCTGCGTAGGTCTGGGAGAACATCAGGCGGTACACTGCAGAGAGGGGAGGGGGGGCTGGTCAACCTTTGCCTTCAGGTTTTACTTTCAGATAAACAATTAAAGAAAACCTGAGAGATGAAACAGTTTGAAAACATAAAAGAGGAATCTTCCACGGTTCAGTTTTCTCTGAGGGTTTTCTTTAGGTTCCTCAAACCCCTTTCAGGTTTTCCAGATGTTGTTGGGTTCCGCCTACAGACTTTGAGCTCATGCATAATAAGTCCCCTTTACTCTCACAGCCCTAAATAAATCCAGTGAGCAGCCTGTGGTGGTGGGGGGGGGGCAGCCGACAGAAGGATGAACATCTGAGGGATGCAGAGGTTCTCCTCCCAGATCACACTAATCCATGTTTTTGGAATGGCCTAGTCAAAGTCTAAACCTAAATCCACAAACTGCAGCTGGGCTCAAATATCTGCTTCTTTCATACCTTGAGTTAACCTGACAACAGCCAGATGCATGTCTCACTCCGCCCAGCTCCACTCACATACTCAGATATGTGGGCGGAGCGAGACATGCATCTGGCTGTTGTCAGGTTAACCTTGAGTGGCAGATGTCTGGGTTTTGGTTCGTCCAGCAGGAGGCCGATTTCTCCTCCTTTAAGGGAATGAGATTGTTTTTCCATTTCTGCTGGACTGCAGCCCATTACCCAATCACAGAACGGACATGTTGATGTAAGCAGTGAAGGCAAAGCTGCAACTGAACGGCACGCAAGTATGGATTAAAGTAATGTGATTACTAAATTAGTCGACAATTATTTCAACAATTGATTTTGCACATTAATGTGATTAATGGTTTCAGCCCTACTGGGAACCAAAACTTTTTAAACTTTCATTAATATTTCCTGTTCAGCTACCCAAGCATCCTCTTTAAGCCCCTCAAACTGTAATATAAATGACATTAAACCAGATTCTTAGTAATTTATTGATATGCTGCATTATGCCCTCCATGTTGGAGCTATAGAAATGCCCCCCCCCCCATTCATACCTAAGATCTCCTGCAGCGTAGAGCTTCTGCAAATGATCTGATTTATTTATCAAACCGTGAATCTTTCCTCATTTATGATGCAAAAGAAAACTTTATGTTAGTTTTTCTAATAAAATCCCCCAAATCGCTCAGAGAAAAAGACTTTCTCTGGGCGGCTGAAGGCGTCTCAGGAGCAACCTCAGAACCTCAGGGGCTCCTGGATAGAAAAGTTTCTACTTTCTGCTTCTGGACAGATTTAAACAGTCAATAAAAGTTAAAAGTCTCTATGAAAATGTTTGTTTGAGCGTTGGACCAACTTACAGGCAACCTTCTCCTCATTGGTCAGCTCAGCCCAGGGCCCCTTCTCCTTCTGCTTCAGGCTCTGCTCAGCATCGCTCAGAACATCTTTGTAGGGTTTGTCAGGCAGAGGACTGTCCAGCCTGTCGTAGTACATCGGCCGGGACATGTCCACCGTCTCTGACACCTCTGGAGGACAGCAGGAAAGGATTATTATTACTATTATTACCATCATCTACCCTACAAATCAAACCAGGATGATGGTGATTCATTCAAAATGGACCAACAGTGCCCCCTGCTGGTTGTCCACGCAAACATCCAATGATTGTTTTTAGTGCGGCTGAAGATTCTCAGTCATCCAGAGTCAGTCCCAAAAAGTTTGTTGGGCTGCTGGATAAAACCTGGAACTAAACGCTATTTCTGACATTTTGAATTGAAAAATCTTCCTGGATGGAAGAGAAACGTCTTTAAACTTGGAAACAAAGTCCAGAGGATTGATTTGAACTTTTTTAAAATTCTTTTTAGTTGTTTTTTTTAATTATTTTTATAATAATAATAACAGGTTTTAATATGAATTGCTGATATGAGCAGTAATCTCAAATATGACTTAAAATGTTCAACATGAACAAACTGAATAATTTTAAATGAGTTTATTGTTTTCTTACAAGGCGCCACTAAAACAGCCTGAAAGATGAACTGATCCTGATGAAAAGTGTTTTCTATGATCTCTGGCTGCCTGTTTCTCTAAATTCTCTGGATTTAGGCAGAAAAGTGTCGAACAAAAATCGGTTTGTTTCTTTTAAACCGGCTCCGTTAATGATTATAAAACCATCCATTAAGAAATGTCAGTTGTTTTTGTACCGTGGCTCTGCTGGCTCAGCATCCTCGCCCTGCTGCTGGAGGTCAGGCATGCTGTGGGACGCCTGGCTAGGAGACTTCCCAGGCGACCTGAGGTCAGACGCAGCATCTGAAACACGAGCGGATCATGTTTATAACTGTGAACATCATTTCTAATTCATCAAACTGTAATTTGTCAGATGCTCCTTCTGACACAGATAGAAACCAGAGGAAGCTGCCAATCTCTGCTTATTTGGAATCATGAAGGTTGAACCAGAGTTTGCTGCAGTTAAAGAATAATAAGACAAAGAATGAGAGAATGAAACCAACTAAATAGATCGTATCACAAGACGAACCAACTTTAAACGACTGGATCGATATAACAGATAAAATGGAAAGAAAAAGAAAGACTATTGATTTTATTTTAACTGTTTGTAGAAAACTCAGCTAAACTCTGCTGAATGAATCAGGAAATGATGTAACATGATTATCTTTAATGAGGGCGGAGTCACTCTGAGGTTACTGAGGAACACCTGATCCTGACCAGGTTAGTTTTAGGGAC